GTATATTCTGATGATTTTCCGTCAAGTATTTCCGACAACAATTGTTATCGGAAGTTACCGAGAAATTTCCGAGAAATGAGTGTTTCCGAGACCCAAACGCCGACAAAATTTTGGTCCTCAGGAAACGATCGGAAACACTTATTCCCGACAAGCTTCCGTTTAATATGGTCCTCGGCTGTAACTTCGTTTTCTTGTAGTGCTCTCAGTGTCAATGAGACAGTCCAAGAAGTCGATGTAGTTACAAACAAAGGCTGTGTAATGGTAATGACATTGCTCCAGTGCCATTATGCTCCTAAAAACCCTTTCAGTTGCATCTTCTGCCTTGAAGCAAGGCATTGTCAAGATTCCACGTTCAAATTTAATCAACAACGAGGCCTCTTCTTCAGAACATTCAAATTCAACTCCTGCACTATTCAACATCTCTGCGTTACGAAGTCTCGCTATCGACTCCTTTCTCACAAGTTTCGCGTTAATCTGCTCTTCTTCCGTTAGACCAAGTGTCTGGACAAGGACAAGCCGACGCAAATCCGTGAAATGTAGGAACCTCTTTTCTCTTGTGACCTTTCCTTGGATCCCAAAACCTTGAAGGATAATGCCACGGAACGTTATGTTACCCTCAAACTTTGCATAAAAGGGTTCGAAGAGGTTTTCTAAAAGTGCATATGGAAGTTGGTTTTCAAGTAATATTAGGTCACCAAAGATAGTGTATTGGTAGCAAGGCTCGTCGAAAAGAAAATCTCCCGTTTTGTCGATGTATCTAGGTCCAATGTGCATGAAAAACACTAGAATGAACACCGAGTCGTGAAGCATCATTTCAACGAAGTCGTCAGAGTTGATCGAATCCGTTGGTTCTGCGTAACATGCTCGTATGAACTGCTCATCTCTTTTGATGATGCTTCTGAATTCCTCAACCGTTTGTTTCCCATAAGTAAGTGCAATATTCTCAAGGTACTTCTTCTTGTGCAGCTCCATCTTGTTATAGTACATATATCTGACCATTCGAGACGCTTAAAATTAAAATTGCTTAGCCAGGAAGGAGTTGAATAAACGAACCAGAATTTCTAAAGATCGACACTGAACCAAACTTTATTTTAACACATTGAACTGTGATGATATTTTTTTATCTAACTTAATTAGACCATCAACATTGATGAAAGACTATTGGGTTTCCCACAACATGTTTTAATATATAATAAAACATAAACAATAAAGAGAGATATGTAGGACAAGAATCTCAAAAGTTTTTTTTTTTGGTAGAAAGAATCTCAAAAGTTCTTCATAGTTTCTTGTTTAAGAGACTATGCTTTACACCCTTGGTATAATTACTACGCTTTACTCACTAACTATGCTTTACACCCTTGGTATAATTAAGTAAAAAAATGAATTATGTATTTAATTTATTATGTATTTTTTCAAGTATATAGGCTAAATTAATCTGCATACCTCACATCGGTTTTGGAGAGCTCAACAGCTTGCGCTTTCTTATAATGGTGAAGAGGACCGATCAGAAGCATTTGAGGAGTATAAGCCTCAGGGTTCACACTCCTTAACCCGCATGGCACTCTATAGATGCAACAATTGTTATGGTTAACCGAATAAGGCCATAAAAATTTGACCTCAGAGCAAAAACCCGGTCTATCCGTGGCAGTCATGGCCTTGACTACACGAATGTTAACGCCAACAGATAGGTTTTCGTTGATGACTTCTTTTTCTTGATCAGAAGTTAGCGGATGTTCATTGGAGATATCGTTTGTTGCTTTGGATCCTTCTTTAAGATTCACGTTGACTAGCTGCTTGTTGTACAAGTAATGAGTCAATGTTCATGTTTACATTTAAACTATCTAACAAAATCAAAATATGTGATAATCATGACCTAGTAATAAATTATCAACTATATGTGTGTGTAAGTTTAAGGTTTTACGAGTTAGACATTTTTATGGTACTCCTAACCAAACTATTCTATATTTATTTCTTTTACAAAAGGATTTTATAGTTTATTATGAACAAAGCCTTCCATATATATGTGTATAATCAATTTGGATAGATGTTGTACTTGGCTGCTAATTTCATCTATTGAGTATTAACATCATGATGATTTTTACAAGTTTTGTAAGACTTTAAATTCAGCTCCTATATTTACGTAAACAAAAGGGGGTTTCTATCATGATTAGCTCAGTCATTAGTTTTAAAATTTTACAGGTCACACAATTCTATTTTAGTTATATGATATCTATTATCTAAGATAGATATTGAGATTTTCTTATTTCTATAATCCGTAAAATAAAATTTCGAAATGCAAGTAATAGATCAATATGGATGAAAAGCCTAAGAGAAACAATAAAATAAAATATAAAAGGTAGAAGAAGAAGATGTTGTTGTTTTAATAAAGAAATATATGAGATAAGATAAAGGAAGTTTTGGAATTCTCATCGAACCTTGGCCATGTTTGCCGACACATGGAACTTGATTAGAACTTATTAGAAGCCCTAAGCCTTTGCTTCTATATATATGGAACTTACACGAATAAGTTGATTTTTTTTTCCAACAAGTTGAATTTATATCTCTCAAAAAGAGAAAGAAATGATGTGGATATAAAGCTATTTAATTTGGAGCATTTTTATATTTGCCTATGACTTTACGCAATTCATCCCAACTTTTTTCAACCTTTATTGAATTTTATTTTATTTAAGCTTTGGGCAAAGAATTATGCGGAGTCCAACGCGGAACTCGTTGGACCATTAAAAATTCACACACAAGTTTCTCACGTTGACAATAGTAACGAGAATCAACCCTAATGTTGGCCTTTATTCACAGGCCCTGAAATTTAAAGGATTACAACGTTTTTATTGTAAGTCTTGATAAAATAATTCTTTTCAAAAGTTTGAGGATCATACGATTTCTGTATATTACCTCAAAATTTGAAAATGAAAGTCAATGTTTCATTAGGCTTTCACCATTACCATTTCTAGATATAAGCTCTGTTCGTTTATCTGACGCAGCTTCAACCGACTGCGGCTAAAAATAACAAACAGGTGCGGAAATTTTTAATGGTGTTTTGATGTCGAGTTGCCGCCGAAAGCTGTCGCTGGTCGTCTTTTCCGTATTTTTGTTGCCGCTGTTTTTTACAGCGTCCCCACACATATGTATATCTGTCTCTAGCGTCCAAAGCTATCACCTTCCTGCTCTCTAATTTTGATTGATTGCTGAGCTGGCATTAAAATCCTTTTATATTTTTTGATCGCCGGTTGTTGACGCCGCGTTTCAAAAACGAACAGGGCTATAGTCCCCATGAGACTTTTTTCTATAAGTATTTTTGTAGCAACCAGTGACCGAAGTTGCGAACTTCTGAAAATCTAGGAGAGGGAACAAATATCTTTATTGTATTTTAAACTGTTGCAAGCGAAGCTCGACTCAATGCTGATACAAAAATATTGAACGTTCAGTTATTAATTACAAATCAAGAATACTATTACATTCATAACATTTCAATTTATTTTCCAAACTATCTATGCGAAGTGAGTAAGATAAAGAGAAAAACAAAGTTAAATATAGTTGTGTGGAAAAAAAAAGTTTTGTTTCTTCCTCCGGACGGAAGCAATTATTAAATATGTGTAATTAAATAAGAGAAGATTTATAAGAACAATGAAATAATTCGTTTCTTCGAGTGGCAAGAACGTATCTACAAGTCCCGGGAAGGTGGGGGTGGAAGCAGTGACTTAGTGGGATCATTGTCGTCCTGCGTCACTTGGAGAAGGGAAGTCACTGTCCCAATCAAAGTCAAGACCAGAATTATAACTGCTGCGATGGTCGCAGTTCCAGTCCACAGGTCTTTGAAGTAGACTCGCCGGAGAGTGGCGAAGGATCTGTTGAGACGGTTGTCGCAGTATTTTTCAAGTCTCTCGGCTATATCGTAATAGTAAGAGCCATTATCAGCGAGCCCTAAGCACATCTTGTTCACCATATTCACCACCGATTCGGAATGTCCCAACAAATTCTTTATAACCCCTTTTTAGGATGTAATTGAAAGCATTAGTTTTCGAAAATGAAAACATTGTAGCCAATTAAAAAAAAGAGAGTATGATGTTCCTTATATAAAAAGGAAATATTTTATTTTCCCTACATTTAATTAAGAAAACTAAATCTATATATGTCGTCAAAAATCTATATATAAAAAATTATTTGAGCGGTTTGTATAAACCAACAAAATCTATGAAAACACTAGACTGGGCATTCTTAGGATTTATATGTGCAATGCTTATATATCATGTATGAGCGTAGGTGAAACTTTTTAAAATGCAATATATATATATATATACCTTTGTTGACGAGTAATTCAACGTCTTGCTCGGTGTTGATGAGGAAGCCCAAGAAAGTGATGTAGTGACAAACATAGGCTGCGTAAGTATAGTGACACTGCTCTAGCGCCATTATGTTCCTCCACATCCTTTCCGTGTGACCACGTGCTGTGAAGCAGGGCATTGTCAAAACACCACGTTCGAATTTGATCACAAACGATGTGCCCCTCTCTACTTTATGCCCTACAATATCAACCCCTGCACTGTCTAGCTCGTCTGCGTTGTGAAGATTTTTTATTAGGAACTTCTTCATACGCTGTTCCTTAATATGATCTTCTTTTGTCAGACCAAGCTTCTCAACACGGACACACCGAAACATATCTGTAATATGAAGGAATTTCACTTCTGGTTTGATCCTATTTTTGTAGCCATAATGTCCAAGGATAAAGTCACGGAACGTTATGTTACTCCCAATCTTTATGAAGAAGGGTCCAAAGAGGTTTTCCAAAAGGGAAAATGGAAGTTGGTTCTCAAGCAAGAGTAGGTCTTCAAATATAGTGTCTCGGTGGCACGGCTGGTCGAAAAGAAAATCTCCTGTTTTGTCGATGTATCTTGGTCCAATCTGCTTTAAAAACATTAGTATGAACACCGAGTCAATGAGTATCATTTCAACAAAGTCTTCAGAGCTGATCCAGTCCGTTGATTCTGCGTAGCATGCTCTTATGATTTGCTCATCTCTTATGATGATTCTTCTGAACTCCTCGACTGTTTGATTCCCATACATAATTGCAAAATTCTCAAGGTACTTCTTCTTGTGCTGCTCCATCTTCTCATATTCCAAATGCCTGGAGAAAGTCCAGAAGCAACAATATGGATAATTAAGAGCATGATTAATCCGAAGTTCTTCTTAGTGGAAGTTAAGAAACTGTTTATTAAATTTTAACTAAAAAAAACTAAAATTAAGAATCCGTTTTTAGCTTTTTTAGTTAAAGGTTAATAAACATTTAATAACTTTTAACTAAAAAAACTAAAATTAAGAACCGATTTTTAGCTTTTTTTAGTTAAAAGTTAATAAACAGTTTCTTAACTTCCGGTAAGAATCCCGGGTTAATCATGGTCTAAGCTATGAGTGGGATTAGGTAAAATACATCAAAGTTTCTCAAACCGACGACACTAAACCAAAATTTTATTTTTAAACCCAACTAATAATATTTGTATAGCTCAATAATAAAACCCTATACCCATAGGCCATATATATGCTACCTCGAATATTTCTTAGAGAGCTCCATAATTTTAGGTTTCTTAGAGAGAGGACCGATGAGAACCATTTGAGGAGTGTAAGCGTCTGGTTTCACATTTCGTAGTCGGCATGGCACTCTATAGATGCAACAATATTTATGATTAGCCGAATAAGGCCATAAAAAGCGGAACTCAGAGGCAGACATGACCAAAGAATCGGGTCTATCCGGGTCATTAATCATGGCCGTGACTAAAGGAAAGTAGTTAGCGCCATTGGATCCTGTTTCATTGATGCGTTCTTTTTCTTGATCCGCAATTGGCTTAGGTTCATTGAAAGTAGCATTTGTTTCTTGTAAGCCATCTTCCAGATCCACGTCGAGAGGTTGCTTGTTCTACGAGTAAGCAGCAAGTAGATGTCTATATATTACATATTTCAAATTATATTGAACTTCCATGTTTATATGATGGTATAATATAAATGCAAAAATTGGTGGCTTTTTGGAAAATATTTTTAACGTTTTGATTATCTGATATATTATTTAGATATTTCGGCTAAGGAGTAAACACTTAATTTTTTTTTTTTTTTAAATAATCAAGATTTTAGTGGTTCCAATAAAATGAATATTTAACACAAAAATCATATTGATATTTATCTAATGCTGAGATTTTGAGAATGTTTTAAATGTGTTTATAACTAAATTATGTTTAGATTCTGTATAAGATATTCTTTATTCATTTAATATATTATCTTTGTTATTTAATGGTCCACCATTTTGGTTCAAAGTATGTCCAAATTTTATATTACCATATTAAGTTATGTACATAATTATCATATATCAGTGGTAATAGTAATATTTTTTTTTGTAATAAATACAACGACTGAAATTTGGTTTTAAATAGAATTCTAGATTAATAGAATAAATTTTCTTTTCTTTTTTTTTGCGAGTACTACGATAAAGACACAAAACAAAATAAGAAATGATAGAAGGCTGGAATTTTTAACGATGATAATATATTAAATGAATAAAGATATATCTTTAAGGAAGTTTTAGTTCTCTCCGAACCTTGGTCATGTTTGGTGGAGAAAGCAATTCGATTAAAAGCTCTAAGCCGTTAATGCTCCTCTTGTCCTTCTTAATTAGTCGTGCATGGGTTATTAGGATATATATGCTGTATTTATAAAGGATGATTGACGTGAATATGAAGCTACTTTTTTTGTGTAAATATGAAGCTACTTCTTTAGTAAACAAAGAACATG